AAAGATAATGGGATTTTCCCACAAACTTTAAAAAGAACCCTTTTTATTGTGAATTGAGTGAAGGTTTGCAGAGTAGATCTTCAGTTATACATTCAATAAGTCATATGCTTCACTTCATCTCAATGATTGCCATCCCCTCCAAGTCACACCAGTTATCCCACTTCCTCTCTGGGATGCGTGTTTCCATTCCACCCTCCTTCCCAAACATTCTGAATGTTGTCCTCAGGTAAATGCTGCCCTTTTGATCTCAACATTCCAGGGTGTGCGCGCCTCACTAGTGTGGTTTCCACCCCCCCTCCGCTCCCCCCCCCACCCCCCCGTAGACCTATCTACTGCTTGGATGAAAAGGGGGCCATGGGAGTAATTCCATGACCTCAAGGGGGGTACCAAAGGTCACAGTCTGAGTTCCCCCAGTCTCTTTCTGACCAGAAAACTTGGCCGTTTTTTAAAATAGGTTTTGAGTTTCATTGCACATGCTAGCCCACTCTATCCGGGACCTTATATTATGGCCCTATCGGAATAGTTGGTAGCGGTAGTTGAGCACCATCTAGATTTTCTGGTCGCAGAGTTGCAGAGAGTGACGTTCGTGTGTTCCCGGTAGTCCCAATGGACAGTTGATTCCAAGTCTCTTCAATTTTCAATGCTCTTCCTTCCTCCACACAGGGAGAGCAATAGTTACACCTTAGATGGCTGCTGGTGTGCTTTTAAGATTCCACATGTCACTCACATTCCATGAACTCTGTGAAACCCTCTCATATTTTCACTGAAGCAGTCCTGGTGGTGAAGTGGCTAAGTGCTTGGCTACTAATCAAAAGGTTGGAGATTTGAACCCACCAGTTGCTTTGAGGGCAAAAGAGGAGGCAGTCTACTTCCATAAATTCGACTTCCAGTCTTGGGCTCCTAGGCGCAGCTCGATTCTGATCTACAGGGTAGGGTCACTATGAGTTGGGACCACATAACAGCAGTCAGTGGGTTTGGGTTTGGATTTCCATTTAATCAAGTATAATCTTTGGGAGACTCCTCACATATTTAGGGACCTGATAAGGTCAATTTGAGGGGTTAAGAGATGATGAAAAAATTCTGCAGTTTCATTTTTGAGTATCTTGAGTTCTGAAAGTATTGTATGATGTCAAATTGATTGTGTTGTGAACCTGCTTCAATGTAATCTATGTTATTTACCTCTGAAATTATGAGTTAAGGAAAATTAGGGGAAGGAAAACCAGATTCTTTCAACAGATTCAAATAAACCTTTCCTTTGAAGGTCACTGGGTAATTCACATTAACTATCTCACGCATTAATGATCTCATGCTCTGGAGTCCTGGCACTAAAGAATAAGACAAGGTCAGTGGTTCAAACTCACTAGCTGCTCCTTGGAAACCCTATACAGGGGTTGCTATGACTTGATGGCTGGATTTCGGGGTGTGTGTGTGTGTGTGTGTGTGTGTGTGTGTGTGTGTGTGTGGAAATCTGTATCAAAAATGTCCTCAGCACTGATTGCTAGTACTTTTGATGAACCTATCAGTGTGTACCACTATCTGTTTTGAGTGGACTTTTAATGAGGCCATCTCCTATGAGCTATGAATAAACTCACAATGATGGAAATCGTTATTTGGTACTTGTTCTACACAGTTTAGACTCCCTCTTTCTTAATTTTAACATAAAGGCACTTACCACCCTAACTTCTGGATTACTTAGCACCAAAACAATTTTGATGTACCAAGATGCTAATGTAAACAAGTTTCTTTTTAACATTTCTCTAAGCTAGTAAAGGAGTCCTGCTGTGGCATTCAGCCAGGTTGGTCTGAACTGCAAAGTCGGTGGTTCAAACTCACCAACTGCTCCTTGGAAACCTTATACAGGGTCGCAACTAACTTGACTACACTTAACAACAACAAGTAAAAGGAACTCTGATAGCATAGTGGGTTACAAATTGGACTGCTAACCCCAAGGTCATCAGTACAAATCTCCCAGAAAGATGAGGCTTTCTGCTCCCATAGAGATTGACAGTCTCAGAAAGTCCACACAGGGTCAACATGAGTCAGAACTGACTCCTGTCACCACTAAGCAAGTAAAACACTCACTCTTACTTAATCTATCTACACTTGTAAGGGAGTCCTGATGTGGCACTGTAGGATCAGCACTGGACTTCAAACCACAAGGTTGGCAGCTCAAACCCTGGAAACCCTGTACAGGGTCACTATGAGTCAGAATGGACTCAACAGCACTCAACAACAGCAACAACATAGTTGTAAGAGGACCCTCATATATAAGCTGGACAGAAACAGTCCTAATACAAGCACCTCCTAGGAAATATAAGGGTTGGTATTATATGAGCAAGAGGCTACCGCCCATTAATACAGGTATATCCCACTTTTCGGAAGTTTGCTTTACACCACTTGACTTTTACCAAAGACCTACATTACATTAATCCCTGTTTTCAGAAGCCAAAAGAAACCTCAAGATGATTTCGGCTGTTGTGAAAAAAGGTGACAAGTACAACTAGCAGGTCAGCATTTGACGGGAACCCTTAAAGAGGCAATGAGCACCCCAAGCATCAAGCCGCTGTATCTCTGCAGTTTACCTGTGAAAACTATGTGTTAGTGGGACTTTAGGGTTTATGTGTCATTTGGCATGATTTGGCAAGCTATTTTTTAGGTCTTGGAATGTTCAAAAATGTTTTCCATATAAATTAATAGTAAATGCTTCTTCACTTTACACCATTTTGGCTTATGAAAGGTTTCAAAGGAACTCTACTTTCGGACAGCAGGGGAAATCTGTACTTGAGAAATAGTTGTTTCTTTAAACAAAGAAACTTCAAAGAAACACTCAGTAAAAAAGAAATAGTGTATCAAATGGTCAAGTGGGGAGAGCTGTTACACAGTAAACATCTTTCTGGTATTCTCAAGCTTTCAGCCAAGATCCATCTGATACCAGCAACCATAGCCGTAGTTCCATGTCCTCTTCTGACTTTGGCTTGAATTTTTAT